GCAAAGTTGTTTGGATTTGATTTTGTTTTGCTTTGAAATATTCACATTTATTTTTTCATCCAATTATAAGAAAACAATAAGAAACTGTTATATTTTACTCCAAATGTATTTTTTGGAAATAAGACATAAGAAAAATTATAACAAATTTAGACCCATTTCACTGGAGAAACAAACAAACAAACAAAAAAACTACCAAAAACTGTTTTTTGGCACTTGCAGAGCTCCATACAGTGTCCGCTCACTGGGCTGTAAACTCAGACGTTCAGATTCTTTTTATCAGCTTCGAGTCAAGAGCCTGATGTTTCCATGGGTACCAATTTATACTGAACAGCAGCATTAGCTTCGTTATACAACAACACAGCTCTAACTGCAGAAAACTAAACTACTTTCTCTGGTTCACGTGTGACATGTATTTCACTAATTTCACTAAGAGTGTAACTGAATTTGTTTCCAGGCGTCTGGCCCTTTAAGGTGACTAAATCGAGCAAATCTGAGCACTTAGGTAGCAAGTTGTTCAGAGATTTGAAGAACATCTTCCACCCAAAGACAAACTAAACACACCTTCACACCACACCCTGTCAGAATGGCCACACTCCAACACAAACCATTTCTGAATATGAGTTATTTCCTGTGACTCATAAAGGCTGGGGGCCTTTAATACCTTTACACCACTTACTTAACTGAAAGGAACGCTGGTTCAGAAACTGCTAGAAACAAGCGACACATACATATATACACACACACACACACATGCATGCACACTTGGAAATCACGTGCAAGTGTGAAAACAACCTCACTTAAGCTTATTTTGGAATATGAAACGATATGCTACATTTTTAATTATTTTATCCAGGTATTTCCATCATTTAGCTTTTAATAATGAAAGTCTTACCAATGTTGGACAGTCATCCTTCATCACTAGTTTAGACAGTGACTGGAGTTTTGAATTAATTTACATTTCAGCTTAAAGCTGCTGATTGGGTTGTGCTGGAGGGAAATCTGTGTTCGCAAAACAATATTTACATCTTCAAATGTCATTTATATGCAGGATCCATTTAACCTGTCACAACATGGGGCTACTGCAGTCAATTTAATCTGTATTTGGGTTTTTCACATTGCATGCTAAGCTGTGTGAAACGCCAACAGGCTTCAGGTTTTTATAACAGATAAGGACAGGAAAAGAAATACAAGAACAGAAAAAGAGTTTCAACAGACATGCAAAAAGCAGCACATGCTGATTGAGGTCTTGAGAAAGTGAATTGATTGTAGGTTAGAAGTACCGACCGATTGGGAGGAAATGGGTCAAGGCCTTTCAGAAGGGCAGGGAAAGGTCAGAACAGGTGACACCTTCAAACATATGGCAGCGGTAGGAACCGCAGAGGATCTGAGATTATATCATATTTAGCTGATGCTGCGTCCACTCTGCACTGTCACATTTTCAACAGTTTACATTTAAGTCAAAACTTCTCATTTTGATCTCAGTTGACCAGAGTGCCTTCTCTCACACGTTTGCCCTGTTCCTTGTGGAAAACTGTAAACACTTTTTATGACCTTCTGTTTCGTTTTGCCTCTCTTCCATTAAGAGCCATTTTCATGTGGAGTAGATCTGATGTTTGTCGTGTCTACAGATTATCTACTAGTCCTCCAGCTGTTTAATAGTTTCCTGATCTTGTTTGTTAGTTTTGGTGGAAGGTAATGTCTTAGTAGGCTTACAGTTGTGGCAAACATTTTTATTTTTAATTTATGGACTGAAAATATCTGAATGAGATGACCTAATCCTGCTTTAAACTTGTCCAGAACTTCCTGCTGTGTTTTTGTTCTTTGTGATAATGTTTGTCTCCTACAAATCTCTGAGGCCTTCATCGACCAGCTGTGTTTGCTGACATTAACGGTACTTTAAACCCAGACAGACCAATGATTCAGATGGATGATGGATGAGAAAAAATTCACAGCTTCATCAGATGAAGCTGTGAATTTTTTCTCATCCATCATACCTTGTTATTTATAAAGGTGCACCAAACAACATGGACGATGTCAAACAGTTACGACAGCAGCGAGCCGGGAGGCAAGGAGACCAAGATGTACCGCTGTGGTAATTAACAACAATGTATTGGAGGCATTGGAAGGATTCAAAAGTTTTCATGTAGCATAGATGACTGTAAATGCTACATCCTGTCTGTTTGCTTTCCCACTGCCAGTGAACTCCACTAAGTTAACAAGACCTACGTTTTCCTGCAAAGCAGAAATTGCTTGTTTAATTGGCACTAGAATCCAGATAATCCCCGACACCGACACAAATAAAGCACAGTAGCACTAAACATCTTCCAAACAATTACAGCCACAATCAGAGAAGTCTTAAACTTCCTTATTGCAGTGAAATATGATGATATGACAGATGACTAAAGACATTTTTTTCACAGTCATGTGAATAAGTAACACTGACTTTGTTTTAAATTGCCCAGTTTGAGTTAGGAAATGAGGAATTGCTCTCATCATATCCCATCTTTAGTATTCTGACACTTCATTGCTCTAAAGCAATTGAGATGCTTTAGAGCATCTCAATTTACGCTTCCAAGAATACGACAGCTGTCAGTTAGAGGTCTAAGCAGCGGTCACGGTTCAGGGATCTGACCCAGACGGTTCTGGTTAGGGTACACTGCTGAGGCCTGTTTACGTTCAACATTCTGGCCTTGAACCAAACCCACTGCAGTACATTGTGGTCAGCAAGGCTGTGAGAAATCAGACTGGCTATGCAAATTTATGCCGCCTGTTTCTTCAAACAAATACAGCGTATAAAAGGCAGGCGAAGATGAAATTGCTTTATGTTGACAGCAGAACAGACTGAGGGCAAATACAGAACCAGATAATGAAGAGCAGCACTAGGGATGAGATTATTGGGCAACCTCTGAAACATAAACACTTCTGAATGAATTTTAAGTGCTTGCATAAGAGAAGGAAGCACAGTGGACGAGAGATGATGTGCAATAGTAAAATGATTCACTGTGTTAAATAAGAGGCAGCAATGTGTGTGTGTGTGAAGAGGAGTGAACTGACCGTGGTGCATGTAGCCACTGTTGCAGAGCCCCACACCCAGTGTCACAGCATCCTCTCTGTTGGAGCAGTCTCCCTGGGAAACCAAACCAATGATGCAGTCAGTGGGTCAGTCAAAAGGCCTGGCTAAGCATGTCTGAAAACCACTGTATGCATTCACAGCAGAAAGATGTTAAGATAGCTGATCAATGAGCTCATTTTTAGAGACACACTGCTTCTGCTGCAAAAAACTCCTTCATTGTTCCACAAAACTATACAGATGAATGTACTTTGTCATTTGTCCAAAACAAACAAACACACAAAAGAACATATCCTGACTGAATCTTTCCAGTGATTTTATAAAAAAAACCTCAACTGGAAAATGAAAACATTTCAACTAAATTTAAACAGAACCACTAGTTTAAGAACAAACAAATGAAAAAGCCTAAAACAAATACCGAATTAACCTGAATTTAGGTCCAAGACGCTTGCTTACCTGTGAGATTAACCAGTCCACCAGTTTGCAAGCAGGCAAAACAGATTTAAAGGTTTTCAGATGGTGGTCTCTGTCCCTGAAGGAGCAACAAAAGGAAAAATTCCTTAATGCAGGTGGAGTAAAATCCTGCATTCATTTTTAGCTTGACTCTTATGATTAAGTTTACTAACAGATGTATAATAAACCTCAACCTCTTTCCTGAAAGGATGGTGAACCTCTTATACACTGCAGTGTTTCAGCATGTATAGCAACAGACCTTTAATGTCCTTTAATGCCTTTAAGGTCCATTAAAGGCATTAAGGACACTTGAAATATCACAGTCTGCAAAATATTGCATCCACAAAGTTCTTCACACCTGCACAACGCTATTGCAATGGTGATATAAAGTGCAGACAGTTTGCAGACATCGTTTGTAGCTCAGAATTTTTTTTTTTACTTGTTTAAACAACCAAAGCAATAAAACAAAGAAAAATGGAGAATAATAATGCACCTAAAAATCAGCTATTCACATAAATTGGATATTGGTCAGGTTGGTCGACTGTAAACAGTGACTAGCCGGGCTGAAACTCAGAAATACTATCTTTTTTTGATCAGTGAACATACCATAGATGACCAGTTGTGTTAATGAACACTGAAAGTGAAACTACTGAGGCGCTAAAAAAGGAAGCAGTGATGTAAGAAACGATTTAAAAGGTAACTGTAGCTACTGCTACGTTTCGGTTCGTCTGACTTTTGTTCAGGTGTATTCAGACTTTCAACTGATAAAGTTTCTCTGTTCCGTCCTTTAGAGTTTTCAAAATCTGCCCATCATAAAATGATTAAAGTTGAGAAACATTTTTGATAATCTTAACAATTAGCCTACAACTTTAGCGAGCTAACTATGCTAACCATGCTAATTGCTAGAAACTGGTAAATTTTGTTTCACTTCATTTGTAAGCTGCTAAACTGAAAATTAACATTAAATGCAATATCTAAGAAGTGCATATTTGAACAAAGAAGTCTTTAATGCAGGAAAAAAAGACACATAAGTAATGATTTTAGAAGTGAAGACTTCATTATTAGACAAATTAAATCATAAGCAGCTTTATCACACTGAAAGCTTAATAAAGCAGGAAGAGGGTTCATAATTATTAATATTCATTAATCAATAAATCACCTAAACCTTTTAATTAATTGCTGCTACAGCACCAATATAGTGCAGATTAAGAACAGAAAAACCCTGTTACATAACCGCAGGCTGGCAGAGGAGCTGCCTTTGTGTGTTAATAGGATTTGTCCTCTTTGTTTGCAGCCTGAGCTTTTCAATCAGACGGTGAGCGATGGAGCCAACGATAGCAGACAAGATGGCGGCTGTGTGTATGGAAAGACTTTCACAGGACTAATTTAAGTCTACAAGATTATCATTAGGCCTTCAAGGTATCGCATTTAATATTTAATTGAAGTTTTAATATTAAAATAATTCAGATCAGAACCAGATATTCTTTAGAAATAAAGAAGAAATGAATTTATGTAGCTTAATTAATCTGGTATTAACGCATATGAAAGCAAGGAAATAAAACAAAAGGATGAAATTTGTTTTTGCACTTCAAATTAGAAATGAACTGAAGTAATTCATCTACATCTATTCAGTAAAAATTAAAACTCCTTATGCTTCCTTTAAGCACCTTCTTTAATTTAAAGTCTTTAAAACAATCTGTCTCAGATTCCAACAAGAACAGCATAAACCTGGAGAGGTCACATTAGAGGTCATGCAGCCTGTCATTCCTAGCAGGGAAGCAGTTTGTACGATGGTTACAGGAAAAGGGTTGAACTGGGTGAATGTGAGCCCTCACTATGAATATGCATCTGTGCACCTGGAGGGCAGAAACATTAGCATGTAGAAAAGGGGGGAGGGGAGAGGCATTAGGGGGCATTAGGAGGGCAAGTACTTACTTGATGACGGGCGTGTGGAGGCTGTGGAGGCGGCAGTACAGCCTGACGCCCTGTAAGAGAGGAGCACAGCGCTGCTGAGTCACAGGTCGCACACGCCTTGGATGAACATGTACCATCATGAACACAAGGCGAGATCTGAGGAGTGCAGCGACTTTCCCTCAGGTTATCGATTCAGAGTCTACAACACACATTTGTTTCTAACGTTTAGCTTAGCTCACGGTGAGGGAGAAGCTCTTTCTCAACAGCATTTTTGTTGCCATGCTATAATCATTACCTTCTGCAGCTTCAAGCAAAAGTTTTCAAACCCCCTGAAATGTACCAAATGCTTTCACATAGCGACCACAAACCAATTGAAATCAGATTTTATGAGATAGAAGGGGTGGCATTCACATTGTTTATCATTTATTGTGATAAATTTAGATAAGAATTTTGATTAAACATTGTCACAATAAACTCCAATTAATTAAGTTAATAAAAACAAAACATGTCTGTATTGTCAGAAGTGTTACTTTTACTGTTTTCTCCACTGTTTGATCAATGACAGTATCAATAAATATGAACAAATCTGAAAATATGATTAAATGCAGTTACTATGTGCAGTTTGGTTATACAAATCACACTTCTTTATGTGACTGGTTTTATAAATTGTTTTGTTTTTTATCATTTGTGTTTGTGGAGTTACGATTGTTGCATCATGCAGTCGCAGCTGTACAGTTACCTAAAGTATTATATAGTTTTTATCATTACATTTATTGCTATGACAACTGCACCACAAAATATCGTGATTAAACTGTAAGTCCATATCGCCCACTCCTATTTGATGGATGATATTAAATCAGTGGTCCCCATAGTGGGTCCTGGAGGCCCGGCATCCTGCATGTTTTAGTCTCTCCCTGGTTTAGCTCACCTGGATCAAATGATGGCTCATTAGAGGTCTAAGAAGAACACTGACATGCTGAAAAGTCGGCCTCCATGCTCAACTTTGGGCACCACTGTATTAAGGTAATGAATAACAAAAGGAAAAGGATGCATGGCTTCCTGTGAGCGTGGCATGTCACTGTACTGTAGCATTTATTCCTCTGCTAGTGCTAAATTAAATCCAATAAAACCAGCAGCCTTTAGAAGTTTTCTCATTAGGAAATACTTTAATCCCAGAGTCAATCCAGAGATTTCATAAAAACCTCAGAGGTTTTCCTGAGGTCACACTGTTCTATGTCATGACATCCCTGCAAACCTGCCAAGACAGGCCGTCCACCTGAAACAATTCATCCATAATCGGTCTCCATCCGAAAGCCAGAGATCATGTCATCTACTACAATTTAAAAAAATCAACTTAAATTCTGGTTTTAACAAGACAAAATAAAGTCTTAAATCAGAACTAATACTCTACCTGATAATTCCCTGATTGAATCACTGTAAAAGGTATTTGACAAGTTAACTAGCATTTCATGTTAACTATGAAGTAACTGTAGACGTCTTCAGTCTTACTCCATGTATTTATATTTTTGCTTCCATGGAGCCAAACATGTTGTCATGAATATTTCTTAAGACTTTGTGTTTTGTCTTTGGCTCTGGATAACTTTTTTTTTTATCTTGTTTTAAGATCAAGACAAGAATATTTTTACTGTTTGATTGTTAAAAAATGTAACTCTAATGTGATGAGTATAACCAAATATAATCTATTTTGTTTTTTAAAGAATTTAAAACTTTAACTTAGTGAAAATTACTGCAATTTCTTCAGATAAATCTTTTAAAGACAGTATAAATGTGTGACTGTGATAAAGTCGTAATCCGGTACCAATGTTAGGCAGGGGTAAAAGCAGGGGGGTACAGTCGGGTACTGCGTACCCCTAAAAGATTTAGTGGGGGTACGCAGAACCTGCAACAGAGGGGAGCGGCTGTCTGC